GACTGACTGATTGCCTAATATCTATGCTTCATTGGTTTTCAGACATTGTCACTTGGTTGAGATATCAGTCATGACGTTACTGGACTCTTTAAAGAACAACATGACTCCCGAAGAACTCAAACCGCTCAACAAAACAAACTACCCCTGTTTGTACCCTGAATCAAAACAAGCAAAGAACAATAAAGGCAATAGATGCTGGGAATGTATGCCGTGTTGTTACTGGAATCTTATTGTCAGCTTTAACCAGAGAAATATCGATGCGTTAGTCAGATGTACGAGGCTGTCGCTTGATTCCATTAAAAGAAAAATGCAGTCGTCCAATAAGTTCAAGGGAGATAATGCAGAAATGAAGAGTGCTTTGTTCAAGGTGAATACTTTATTTGATCTGTCCATCCATCCACCTACCCACCCATCCATCCCTCCCTCCCTCCCTCCATCCATCCATCTACCCATCCATCCATTTATTCACTTTTATTTACTCGTTCATCGTTATTTACTCATGCCTCTCTCGATTATTATGGCTTTTCTCAAGGCTGACATAGTTCTTGAGATCCCTACTGTATCAATGAAACCAAGTCTGGATGATATACAACAGTCTCTGAACACAGCTGTACAGATAATGCTCAAGACTACACAGGTACATGATGATCCTACAAACTGCACTAAACAGTTGATACAATTTAGGATAGTACGACAATCAATAGGAGTTTTGCACCAACACGTACCGGCCCCATAATAAAGCTTGGGCTGCCTGTGGTAGGATCCCTTTGCTCTCGAATGCGAATTGAATTCTTTTTTAAAACGATCGTATTGTTCCTGCCATCTAACATGGCTGCCGTCACGTGATGGTTCAAAACCTCTATATCAATAATTGTTGCTTATAGTTACCAAACTCAGGCCTAGGATCACTGGCGTGACGCACTCATGCAATAGGGTTATCGATAGCGTGACATACTTATAGCGTTACACATTTTGTCACTACAGAGAGTTCACGAGTGGGAATCACACGGTACTATTCACCAGCCTCCCATACCAGTGGTCGAGGAAGGTAAACCAGTCCCTCCCGTCCATCCCAAGTCACTCTACAAGATCGTGTCCGAACACAAGGATGTATTGAAGRTTGTCATTATGTTGAGTTCCATCGTTAGTACGTTCAAAGCTGATGTTAAGGATGTCCTGGGTGCGATGGATCAGTTCAAAGAACTGTGGAATGAGGTAGGTCATAGTCACAAGATATGTCACGTGACCAAGGATTGCGTTGAACCTAATCACGTGACTATCTATTGGTGAATCACGTCACTTGTGCACTACTAGAAGAATATCTAACGATATGTCACATGACTGTCTAACGTTTCTCAAATTGTCTAACTGTATGGTTACTTGGTTAAGTGTCACCTTTGAATTTGGATATGTTTATCGTATGGCATGTATTTTTCAGGATCCAAACGAAAAAGTCAAAGCATTCATTGAGTCCAAGCCCTTGTTGTCGGACTTCGATTCACAAATCAAATATTACCAGGTAATGACGTCATAGCGATCACCATGGAAACGGCGCATGCGTTGTGTTAGGGGAARCTTTGYTAAGAGAAATACATTGTAAGGCCCTTTTCTATTTCCCCAAGTGGTAGGAGAGTGAAAGGGTGTTGTATGAGTTATTTATCATTAACGTAACCCAGTTATACCATATTGATTTTGTAGCGTCTAGAGTCTTTGATCGAAGAACTACCCTCCTATTATCGTATTGGTTCTGTCATATACTTGACTGATCGACTCAAGGAAGCTCTTGTTACAGAAACCAAGGCCTGGAAACAAGCATTTGGCAAGGCTCTCGCAGAAAAGGTAAAAAAATCATTTTAAGAAAAAGATTTGGCTTCGCGAAGATGAATTTTCGTGATGATCTATCAAACCTTTCTGTGACGTAATAATATGACGTTCATTAAGCTGGTAATGACGTAGATTTGGCTTCAGATGACATTTTTGTGATGACCTATCAAACCTTTCTGTGACGTAATTGTATGACGTACATTAAGCTGGTAATGACGTAGATTGGCTTCGATTGACGTTTTGTGATGACCTATCAAACCTTTCTGTGACGTAATTGTATGACGTACATTAAACTAGTAATGACGTAATTGGTTTCAAATGACGTTTTGTGATGACCTATCAAAACTTTCTGTGACGTAATTGTATGACGTACATTAAACTAGTAATGACGTAGATTTGGCTTCAGATGACGTTTTGTGATGACCTATCAAAACGTTCTGTGACGTAAATGTATGACGTGGATTTTGCAAGGGTGACTTCATATGACGTTTTGTGATGACTTAGAAAAACTTCTGTGAGCTCTACTTATGACGTAGACGATGACGTAGACGATGACGTAGACGATGACGTAGTTCAGTAATCTAAAGCTGTTTGGTTTTTGACAGGCGAGTACAGATATGGAAGAGATATTCACATTTATTGATAATCTTGGTAAACGCTTGGCTCGTAACATCACGGACCTGGATGACGTCAGAAGCAGCATGGCGGCTCTCAGTGAGATCAGAGAGTCAGAGATCAAGTAAGTGTTTTTCCTTCTTAACAAATATTAGTCCTATAGGAAGTCTCTATTGAGCGGACCGTCCCTTTGAGCGGCATCGTTGTCTATTGTCACGCACGTCATGCAACTTGATGCGCAACAATCCATATAAGTTATGTCTGTCTGTCTTTGAAGTAATCAGTTATATTTTTACGGTCTTGTATAGGATGGATATGATGATTGGTCCTATAGAGGAGTCCTTCGCCATGATGAATCGTTACGGRCTGCATTATCCAAGCAGTGATGCAGAAAGAGTGGATGGGTTGACGTATGCCTGGAAGAAACTCACCTCACAGGTAAAATCTAACAATACAACACTCTACTACAACTCATATAGTAGGTAGGTTGTACAGCCGCGTAAGTGAGGGGGTTTCGATTTCATTCTACTGAGCGCAAAGAACAGTATGGGCTTCAGATAACAAAAGGTGGCTTCATAGAACCCATGGAACGACCCTCAATCTGCCACTGCAACTCCACTAACATCTACACAACAACCAGTGTGGACAAGTTGGTCATTATGCTACTTATACGAGAGTTCCATCTTTCGGTCTTAAATGATTTCTCCACTTCTTTCGTTCTCTCTAATCCATGCAGTTAAGCWTTTAAAATGGATGGAGAGATGGGATAAAGTGCGGCTTTCTTAGAGAGCAGCCCCATAGCTGAAGGAACTACCAAGGACAGGTTTACGTGAATTTTTTTCGCGCTGTTTTCGCCTCGCGCGCGTCCAAATTCAGATTATCGATAGTTTTGTCCTAATGATTTTCATATCTGTTCGTAACCAGGCTGGTACAGTTGCAGCGCATTTATTGAAAATCCAACCTACGTTCAAGTCAGACCTGCTGGAAGGTGTTGCTAACTTCAAGGTTTTRGTTGAAGAGTTCACTAAAGACTACACAGAAAAGTACGTCTTTTGACTGGAATTATTTCACTATAAACCCCCTTTACAGGAGTCAATTAGTTCATAGTGCCCCATTAGRTGTGGTATGTATGATAGATAGTAGGTGTATTTATCAAGATATTCTGATCTATAGGGGTCCAATGGTTCCTGGTATTGCCCCAAGAGAAGCAAGCGATCGTCTCGGTATTTTCCAGGCAAGATTCGATGAAATCTGGAGGAAATATGAGACGTACTCAGGTAGGAATCTTACGATGTTCATTCCTTTTTTTTAAGTTTCAATTTGATAATTCATTATTAAAATTGGGATGACATTTATAGAAGCACGGTCACGGTACAGGATGTTTGATATTCATGGAACCAATCAAAGCGCGAAAAGATTTTGGTCATCCAATCAAAACGCACGGCACTTGTTAAAAAGTGCGTGACTAGAATGGTTTCGCGGCAGATTTGTTGAAGAGCAAAAACAATACATTGCTTTCGAATGAGATATTTCATTTCAAAAAGAAGAAGAAAGGCCTCTTTCGTTTTGCCCTCCAACATAGCTGCTACTATGCTACTTTATATTCTTTATCCTCGTAACATAAAGTAATCGTTAGTTTTGCCCTCCAACATGGCTGCTGCAAAGTCACTCTATACTCTATATTCTCGTAACATAAAGTAATCGTTATCTTTTCTTTGTCAGGCGGGGAGGAGCTCTTTGGACTAACGGTAACCGAATACCCCGCCGTACAGCGTACTCGTCGTGAGCTTGGCCTCTTACAGAAGCTGTACAGCTTGTACAACTCTGTCATCGATAACGTTAATGGCTATTATGATATCCTATGGCAGGAGATAGATATCGAGAAAATCAATAACGAATTGATGGAATATCAAAACAGGATCAGAAAGCTTCCAAAAGCCCTCAAAGATTGGCAGGCGTTCCTTGAGCTGAAGAAGACCATCGATGATTTCAGTGAATCTTGCCCCTTGCTGGAGATGATGGCGAACAAAGCCATGAAACAACGACACTGGGATAGAATCTCACAGTTGTGTGGAGTAACACTCGATGTGGAGTCTGAGACCTTCCAACTAAGGCAGCTTATGAGCGCGCCTCTATTGCCTAATAAGGAAGAAATTGAGGTATGACTCGCCGATTGCTTGAGCGTTATCACGTGATAAAAGAATGCGCATGCGCAGTGACTGAAATGTCACCTCGGGAAAGAAATTAGAAGATTGATGGCTAATGTTTTTTTYCCCAGGACATTTGTATCGCGGCAGTCAAAGAAAAAGACATTGAGAGTAAGCTGAAGAGTGTCATTGCTGACTGGAGTGTCCAGTCCTTCTCGTTTGCCGGCTTCAAAAACCGAGGGGAACTGTTACTGAAAGGAGGAGACACTGCGGAGATTGTGTCTTTGATGGAAGATAGCTTGATGGTTCTTGGGTCTTTGCTCAGCAACAGGTAATTATCAAATGAGACATATTATGGTCTAGTTTATTCCGACGGGTCGCCGAATTCCTTACGATAACCGAATGAAAAGTATTGGGGGGAAATACCGAAAAGTTTCCAGGATCAGACGGGGTTATGGTCTAGATTCCGACGAGTTTCCGAAGGTTTCACGACAACTGACCTAAGATTAAAATATCAAAAGGTTTTTTCATTTTTAGTAAGAAAATGCAAATGTCGAGGTTTCCGAGTAACTGTCGAAAATTGACCGGGAAAAGAACAACACTTTTTATGTCTTCTCAGTATCAATTATATACAAGAGTAGTGGAGTAGTGAGCTAAAGTGCATGCTTGTTTTGTGTTWTTAGATACAACGCACCATTCAAGGCTGACATTCAGAAATGGGTTGCCAAGCTAACAGGATCGACAGAAATCATCGAAAACTGGTTGGTGGTTCAGAATCTGTGGGTTTACCTKGAAGCAGTGTTTGTTGGTGGAGACATTGCTAAACAGCTACCGCAAGAAGCGAAACGATTCAGCCAGATTGACAAGTCTTGGGTGAAGATCATGCAACGAGCACACGAGAATTCTAATGTTGTTCAGTGTTGCGTTGGTGATGATACTCTTGGGCAGTTACTGCCGCATTTGTTGGAACAGCTAGAGATCTGTCAGAAATCGCTTAGTGGGTGAGTGAAGATCTTTATACTTAAGAGTGCGTCCACTTAACACGTGAAGCAAATAGACRCGAAAAGAAATATTTTTCTTGAGTTTCCATTAAAATCATTTAAAGATTGTTAGATCGCGAGGGAACCAGGGAAAAGTGAGATGTAAAGAAATTTGGAGTGACGCAAAGTCAAGGGACGTGCTTCCTTGAGTTCAAGATGATGGGAAGTTCAACATAACTGTACTCTCGATAAAACGTTGTTTTATGGCAGTTTTTCTTGTGTTTGTCCTATAGGAAAAAGAGTGCGCTAGCCATTAAAAATATTAGGTCTACACATAATAATCCCATTCAAWCCTGAGAGATTTTCCCCACTTTACTTGTTTTAGATATCTTGAGAAGAAGCGTCTGTTGTTCCCGCGCTTTTTCTTCGTGTCTGATCCAGCTCTACTTGAGATTCTTGGCCAAGCAAGTGATTCACATACCATTCAGGCTCACCTGCTGGGGATCTTTGACAACGTGAAGACAGTGACCTTTGACGAGAAAGAATACGATAAGATTCTTGCCATCAACTCTCGAGAAAATGAACAAATCCTTCTGGAAAAACCCGTTGTCGCTCAGGTAAAATAGATCGCTGCTCTTAAATGGCTTCCT